CAGGCTGCAGTTGTGTCGCACGGGCGCTTACTCGGGTTCACCAACCCAACCCGACACGTACAGTTGAGGGAACTTGTGTCCACACTGCATGTGTGACCGCTTTCTAGCTCCGGAAACTTGGCCGCAGACACGAGCCTCAAAGCAGTCGCAGTGTGCACCACCCCCTCTCCCCCAATAGCAAGGTTGCTCTCACATCTACAGCGCGCTTTGCACCAACGTTGCTTACGGGGGTTCAGGGGGTTAAATGAATTAAATGGACCCCATTTATAGGACCTGAAGGAGCGTACAGGAGCTTCTGGTTTGGTCTCTACCCTTACTTAAGGGGACGTGGAGTCTCCGGAAAGCGTAGGAAAAACCCACAAGAGAACTTGGAGCATTCACCAACTGAGCAACAAAATTGGACTGCAAGTAAGCTGCTTCAAAGCTTGTTCTAAGTCGCAGATGCTGGAGTGAGGCACAAGTTAAACAGATGGGCAAAAAATGGTTGTAGGGCATGCGATTTGTATTGGCAACCCTACCCTAAACCCAGAGACCCCAAAACCCCGTTATTGAGAGGCACACAGTAAACTAGAATAAGCCTTGATATGAGTTTAGTCACCAAATCCATGCCTGCTAGGAGGACGTTAGAAGGATGCTGGGAGAAATCTAGAAATTCCTACGAGGACGCTACTGTCCCAGTCACGAAATCCCACGCCTGTTACGAGGACGCTACGAGGACATTACGAGGACATGTACAAATTACTACGAGGACGCCATTTTTCAACACAAAATACACATGTTCTTGGCTCTATATATTGAAAAATGGCGTCCTCGTAGTAATTTGTACATGTCCTCGTAATGTCCTCGTAGCGTCCTCGTAGCAGGCGTGGGATTTCGTGACTGGAACAATGACATCCTCGTAGAAATTTCTACATAGCATGGGATTTGGTGACTGGAACAATGGCGTCCTCGCAGAAATTTCACATTGCTGCCAACATCCTCAGTTTAAAATCCTGCTGGCAGGCATGGGGTTTGGTGACACAGCTGCATCCTGGTACACTGTCTAGATTGCTCGCAGCATCCCTCTAATGTCGTCGTCGCCTGACATTATCTCTGACGCAATTGCCGCGAGACCTCCGAAACCACGTCCTTGACTTTGCTGCGGAAAGCATCTTTGATGGGCACAGATTGAAGGTCTAGAAAGCGGCTGACTTTGTCATTGAGTTGCTTCTTCCCCCCACAGTGCAACAGCTTTTTGCTGTTCCCATTCAACGCAGCACACATCGGAAAGAAGAGCATGCACGTAAATCACCCGTCACACGTCCTGGATTAAGAGGTCTCATTTCCGGGGTCGGAAAGTGGGTCTGGTTTGCGGGCCTTCTCCACTTGGGGCTCCTATTTTGGGCCTGAAATCGGGATCAGAAAACAAAACCACGACATCGCCAAACCTAGGACCTGGAACAGGCTGCAGTTGTGTCGCACGGGCGCTTACTCGGGTTCACCAACCCAACCCGACACGTACAGTTCAGGGAACTTGTGTCCACACTGCATGTGTGACCGCTTTCTAGCTCCGGAAACTTGGCCGCAGACACGAGCCTCAAAGCAGTCGCAGTGTGCACCACCCCCTCTCCCCCAATAGCAAGGTTGCTCTCACATCTACAGCGCGTTTTGCACCAACGTTGCTTACGGGGGTTCAGGGGGTTAAATGAATTAAATGGACCCCATTTATAGGACCTGAAGGAGCGTACAGGAGCTTCTGGTTTGGTCTCTACCCTTATTTAAGGGGACGTGGAGTCTCCGGAAAGCGTAGGAAAAACCCACAAGAGAACTTGGAGCATTCACCAACTGAGCAACAAAGTTGGACTGCAAGTAAGCTGCCTCAAAGCTTGTTCTAAGTCGCAGATGCTGGAGTGAGGCACAAGTTAAACAAATGGGCAAAAAATGGTTGCAGGGCATGCGATTTGTATTGGCAACCCTACCCTAAACCCAGAGACCCCAAAACCCCGTTATTGAGAGGCACACAGTAAACTAGAATAAGCCTTGATATGAGTTTAGTCACCAAATCCATGCCTGCTAGGAGGACGTTAGAAGGATGCTGGGAGAAATCTAGCAATTCCTACGAGGACGTTACTGTCCCAGTCACGAAATCCCACGCCTGCTACGAGGACGCTACGAGACGAGGACATGTACAAATTACTACGAGGACGCCATTTTTCAATATATTGACTCAAGAACATGTGTATTTTGTATTGAAAAATGGCGTCCTCGTAGTAATTTGTACATGTCCTCGTAATGTCCTCGTAGCGTCCTCGTAGCAGGCGTGGGATTTCGTGACTGGAACAATGACCATACTGGGGCGGGGCAGGGTGGCCTGCTTGGTTCGTACGCCGGGATTTGAAGCTACAACATCTAACATAATTTGGGGTTCGAAACAGTACTTTAGGGATATTGGTTGTGCTTTAGGTTGACTATCCGTGTCTGGGGGGGGGGGCGGGACGGCCGCAATATTTGTGCCTTGGAAATGCTGCTTAATGTATCGCAGTGACTGAAGTGACTGACAGAAGTAGTGACTGAAACCTGAAAGAAGTACACGTGCTTGACTTGATCTATGCGTTGCACCCTTAAATTGCCCTGGTCGCCCATGTTACCTCATCGTCGAGATGGACACCACGGTGGCCACGACCCCAGATCACCTTCAGTGCTGCAGTTGCAGGCGGCCTCACTCCACTCTGATGTGAGGCCTGCATCGTTCAGACGGCCGTGACTGTGATTGCCAGGGCCTCAGTCAGTGCCTCATTGTGCCTCATTGTAAAGACTTAAGTAAGATACCCTAAAGTACTTTTAAACCCTAAACCCCTAAAAGACGCGTCCGCACTCGCGTCCGCGCTCGCACGCGAGCGCTCGCGTCCGCACTCAACCGGTTGTGGCTTCGGCCCCCGGTCTTTACCGTTGTGGCTTCGGCCCGCGGTCCACCGGTGTGGCTTCGGCCCCCGGTGTTACCGGTGTGGCTTCGGCCCCCGGTCCACCGGTGTGGCTTCGGCCCCCGGTTTTACCGGTGTGGCTTCGGCCCCCGGTCTTACCGGTGTGGCTTCGGCCCCCGGTCCACCGTTGTGGCTTCGGCCCGCGGTCCACCGGTGTGGCCTCGCCCCCCGGTCTTACCGGTGTGGCTTCGGCCCCCGGTCTTATTACCGGTGTGGCTTCGGCCCCCGGTCTTATTACCGGTGTGGCTTCGGCCCCCGGTCCTACCGGTGTGGCTTCGGCCCCCGGTTTTATTACCGTTGTGGCTTCGGCCCGCGGTCCACCGGTGCGGCTTCGACCCCCGGGTTTATCGGTGTGGCTTCGGCCCCCGGTCATACCGGTGTGGTTTCGGCCCCCGGTCCAGCGGTGTGGCTTCGGCCCCCAGTTTTACCGGTGTGGCTTCGGCCCCCAGTTTTACCGGTGTGGCTTCGGCCCCCGGTTGTACCGGTGAGGCTTCGGCCCCCGGTTGTACTGGTGAGGCTTCGGCCCCCGGTCGTACTGGTGAGGCTTCGGCCCCCGGTTTTGCCGGTATGGCTTCCCAGCCACCGGTCACACGAGTAGTAGAAGTAGTAGTAGTAGTAGTAGTAGTAGTAGTAGTAGTAGTAGTAGTAGTAGTAGTAGTAGTAGTAGTAGTAGTAGTAGTAGTAGTAGTAGTAGTAGTAGTAGTAGTAGTAGTAGTAGTAGTAGTAGTAGTAGTAGTAGTAGTAGTAGTAGTAGTAGTAGTAGTAGTTAGTAGTAGTAGTAGTAGTAGTAGTAGTAGTAGTAGTAGTAGTAGTAGTAGTAGTAGTAGTAGTAGTAGTAGTAGTAGTAGTAGTAGTAGAAGTAGTAGTAGTAGTAGTAGTAGTAGTTGTAATACTTGTTGTACTGTAGTACTTGTAGTACTTGTAGTACTTGTAGTACTTGTAGTACTTGTAGTACTTGTAGTACTTGTAGTACTTGTAGTAGTTGTCGTGGTCGCCGTAGTCGTGGTAATCGTAGTCGTCAGTCGTAATAGCAATCGTAGTAGTAGTCGTGGTAGTAGTCGTAGTAGTAGGAGTAGTAATAGTAGTAGTAGTAGTAGTAGTAGTAGTAGTAGTAGTAGTAGTAGTAGTAGTAGTAGTAGTAGTAGTAGTAGTAGCAGCAGTAGTAGTAGTAGTAGTAGTAGTACTAGTAGTAGTAGTAGTAGTAGTAGTAGTAGTAGTAGTAGTAGTAGTAGCAGTAGTAGTAGTGGTATTAGGTGTAGTAGTATTATCAGCAGCAGAACCTTTGTTTAATTTTAAGATCACCATGAACATCTTAAGTCTGAAACCCGAGGCTTAAGTCAAGTCCTCAGTTTCAGTAATTATTTTAACCCTAACCAACTAAATCCTGAAGCAGGGATGCCGGTGGCTCAATAAGAAGTGTTTGCTGCAATTAGCTTCATCGCTCCTGGCATTTCGAGGCCTTCATCCCTGTCAACAGTGGCTTTGGAGGACGGCTGCATGCAGAGGGCTCAATCGTAAATAGAACTCCTGCCTTTCGCGAGGTCTGAAGATCTTTTTCGTCGTCGACGGCTGTGACTGTGTGCAGAGGCGCAGAGTGCACCTTCATCGAGTGTCTCAGTGTCGTCACAGTCACAGTGCCAAGAGCAACTTCGAATTGCCGTCAGTGACTTCAGTGTTCAAGCCCGATCTGTGTCACAGCGTCATGAACAACTAGACGTGAATGTAGTAGTGCCCAAGCCCAGACAACCGTAAGCTATCCGAGTGCTTACTTAATTAACACGTTTGTCAAGCTCGTGCCCTGCCAGCCATGACCCGCTTCCAGCAGAAGCAGAAGCAAAAGGAGAAGGAGGCCGCGGCTGCAGCCGCGGCGGAGGCGGAGGTACGGGAATCGGAGGAATCGGGGGCGAAGGCATCGGCTTCCACAGCTCCTAGAAGACTGCAGCCAACTTCAAAAGCTGTGCCTCGTCCTGTGGCTGCTGGAACCCGCCGAGTGCCTGACGCAGGACCTGAAGTTATGAAGAGAATTCACTTTAAAGGGGAATGCAGGCTTTGGGGTTAAGGCTTATTAATTTTAGTATTGACCTGTTTGTGTTTATTAAAATTCACAGACCAGCAGCAGGAGACGGAGAAGAAGAACTCAGCAACAAGCAGCGCAAGGTGCTGTGGAATAAAAGAAGGTTGGCCGGTGGCGGTGGTGCCTCGTCGAGCCCACGGGCAGCGCCCAAGGCCAGGCCTGTGGCTGTGGCCGCGGAGGTGCATGCACCTGCTGAGCCTCCTGGTGTGCCTGCGGTGTCTGCGGTGTCTGCGGTGCCTGCTCCACCGCCGATGGAAACAGCACAGGCACTCGCCACTTGGGTTTTTATTGCCTGGTGTTGTTTTTTTGATTTGGTCGGTTTTGAGAAATCAGTCAGTAGTGGGAGATAAGTTCTTGTTGTTTGTATTTATGTCCAAAGGAAGCCATGGCTGCGACCATCATGCGGACAGTCAATGAGAATATCAATCTCAAAGACACCCGCGCGGTGGCTACGGCACAGACATTCTTGATGCATCAGGTGGCTGAGGGGAAGCTGGCGCGTTCTACAGCAGACGAAATGCTAAAGTTCTGGCAGACAGGTGAGTATGAATGCCGTCTTCGAGGTCCGGGTGGTGGTACTGGGTCTAGTGCCTCTTCACAGCCTCCAGGTCCAGTGCCTGGAGTGCCTGGAGTGCCTGGAGTGCCTGGAGTGCCTGGAGTGCCTGGAGTGCAGCAGCATCAGTGCCTGTGTCTCCTGGTTCGTGCCTTGCGACTTCGGCTCCTGGTTCGTGCCTTGCTGCATCAGTGCCTTTGGCTGGTCTTGGTGGTACTTCGCTGCCTCTGCCTGGTGGTCCGTACCTGGGTGGGACAGTGCCTCTGGCTGGTGGTCCGTGCCTGGGTGGGACACTGCCTCTGGCTGGTGCTTCGTGCCTGGGTGGGACAGTGCCTCTGGCTGGTGCTTCGTGCCTGGGTGGGACACTGCCTCTGGCTGGTGCTTCGTGCCTGGGTGGGACAGTGCCTCTGGCTGGTGCTTCGTGCCTGGGTGGGACTTTGCCTCCCTGCCCTGGTGTTGGTACTGCGCCTGGCCTCGGTGCGTGCCTTGGTGGCCTTCGTCCACCTCCTAGGCCACCTGTTAACGTACCTGGAGTTCGCACTGTGGTCCCATTGATGTCTGCGAAGCCGCCGTTGGTGCCTCCTGTGACTGTGCCGTTGGTGCCTAAGGGGCCTCCAACTGTTTTGGGCCCGCCTGAGCCTGGCAAAGGCCAAGGAGGCAAAGGAGCACCCGCAGGTCCTGTGACTGTGCCGTTGGTGCCTAAGGGGCCTCCAACTGTTTTGGGCCCGCCTGAGCCTGGCAAAGGCCAAGGAGGCAAAGGAGCACCCGCACGTGGGACTTAGGGATAAAACATATTCCAGTCATCTCAGTTGCGATTATACTTTGGGAATCGTTTGTAGATCTTCCCGTGCGTCTGGGTGCCTTTGTCATTTTCACACGATAACACTCGTCATTGAATCCAATGACGATTCGGGGCACACCTTACTTTAATTTAATGCCCGGGAGTAACATAAGTCAAACATTCAGTCAGATCCTTCACTTTCAGCTTCAGGAGTCAGTCAGTGATTGATGCGAAGGTGTGACACCTGACACTTTACAAAAAAGACATTCAGCTGCATTCAGAGTGCAAAAGCGGGTGCAGATTGTGTAGTTGCAGCATTCTACTTGTGCATTCTAACTTATGATTGTGCCAGCTTCGTGACTGTGACTGTGCGAGGGCCTATGGCGATACAGCCGCAGGTTACCCAGTCACGGATGCTCAAACGAACAAAGTCGTGTGTCTCTCAGAGTCTGACGGCCCAGGTCAGTGCCTGCCAAGGAGACTCCATTGTCGAGGGCTTGGGCTAATGTGCTGGGAGCTTCAAAACTCAAAGTTTCCTGCGTTTGCCCAGGTGGCTTGTTGCAGCAAGATGGCCGACTGGCTGTGGTCCGTGTCCTGATCTCAGTCCGGCTTCAGTGCAGCTCGAGTTCCTGTCCTGCTTTGATGACTCGGCTTAACTTATCAGATCATGCACTCGTGCTGACCTGATTTCTTGAATTTCTTTTGAGTCCAAGAATACAATCTTTGACCTGGACTGGACCAGGTGCGGTGACTTATTTGTTTGACTCCGTGTGGCTAGCCATGACCTCAATCGGTGACCTATATGAAGTTACAATGCTTCAAGCTTGCATTCTTCAAAGTCACTGTGCTTTTCCAGGTACTCCATTCAAGACAGTGATTGCCCATGCCCTGAGCTGAGAGTGCAGCGAACACTCGAGCTCGGAGCCGCCGTGAGTGTGATTAGGCTTACGTTGGGTTGAGGGATCTTCAAGAGGTGTTTGAGAGCCAACAGCAGCACTTGACTCCCACATTTTTGTCCTGTGTTATTTAATTAGAAGGGTTTCCACAGTTTCTAGCAATTTCAGAAGCGGGCTCTCGTGAGGTTTTGGTTCATGTCAAATACTGTTCAAAGCTGAGCATGGCATCAGTCACAAGAAGTAGCACGAGTGCTGGACCAGTAGGAGTCTCTCGTCGTAGTGCCTAATGAAGGGATACCCGGCGTAGTTAGGTGCATGTGCCGGTCAGTATTGCAGCGTCCGTGATGCCAGCAATATAGGCTACTGGGTGCGTAAACCAGGAGGTTCTACGTTGATCAAAGAGAACAGCTTATGTGTGGCTGCTAACTGATGAGTTACTTGTGTCTGACAGCGAATGAGGTCATCAGGAAATCTGCACGTACTAACTTCACACATCGGGTGTGTTAATTTCGTACAAACATTACACGGGTCGGTGTGGCAGTGACTGTTACTTACGTTTGATTGTGCAGCTGCGCAGAAGTTGCGTCGTCCTACTGCGACACTAACAAATAAGCACGGAGAAAGTTTAAAGCGTTTGGGTTTGTCGGTCAGGGATTCGCGCATGTCATGCGACCATGATTGTGTATGTTTCACAACGTGGCCGAACAAATATCGCTGTGTACTACTTTGCCTTGATGCAGCCATTCTTGCATGACCGCAGTGCGACAATCTGTGTCTGAAAAGGGAAGGGAATTTTTTTTTTTGTCAGGGTTGGGACAACGTGACTTGCGCATGGCATCATGGCGTTGGTAGCGTGTTTGTTTAGGCATCGCCCTGTTGGCAGTGTGTTTGAAGTGCCGTGTTTAGGTAGCTGTGCCGTGCTACTGCGAAACGCGCATAAAGCGTTTGAGTTTCTCGATGCCAGGAGTGATTCGCGCATGTCACGCGGCCAAGCGTGTGTAACAGCTAACAATACCTGACTTGTGAATGTCCTCATCGTGTTGACATTTGTGAAACTCGGATAAAATGCCTTGTAAACTGCAGTGTTTATGTGAGTGTGTGGTCATATGTGTGTGTGTGTGTGTGTGTCTGTGTGGGCGTGTGTGCATGTGTCTATTACATATATACACGTGACGAATTGTCAGTTGTTTGCGTTGGTCCCACCCGTGCTCTTTTCATGTCGATCCGAAACCGCAGCCTGTTGTCCTAAGGTCCACTCGCACTCTGAGGTGTCTGTCTTCGGCTCATTTGTCAGTTCGTCCATCTTGGTGATGAGTGCCTGCTAGGATGGCGGAGTGTGCTAGCAGTGTGCCCATTGAGGCTTCCTTCACTCACGATTGGCAGTGCAGTCGGCATCAGCAGACCGAGTTCCAGGCACTGCTGCCACGATTGAGTTGTCTGCATGTCAGCTTCAGCATGAGCGAGTGCATTGCAAATTGCCGCATCTGCCACCGGCATTTGTCTGTCAAGTGCCTGGGTGCCTATAGATCTGGCTGCCTACAGATATGCCAGCCGACAGCACCCTGACCCACTCGGATTTGTTGGCGCGAGCACAAATGGCTACGGGCTACTATTGGGCGTCACCTCCGCCGCCTCCAGTGCCGCAATTCGGCGTCGCTCCGGGGCTTGGCCCGATGCCTACTGGTGCGGTTCCTGTGCCTGGTCCTGTGCCTGCTCCTATGCCTGGTACTATGCCTGGTCCTGTGCCTGGTCCTGGTCCTGTGCCTGGTCCTGTGCCTGGCATGGCTCCGGCGCCTGGTTCTTTTCAAGAGAGTGATTTGGATCTGGTGACTTGCACTTGCATTCAGATTCACTGCACAGTTTTCGGTCGCCGTGTGTGAATGGCAAACCGTCTAGCAACAGCCCAGGTGAAGAAGCGGGTGAAGGTCATGAACCCAGCCTGGCACTACTGTCTTCGAAGGCTTAAGGTGGATCCGTATGCGTGGATGGTGACTGGACCGCAAAACTTCAGATCTAGTTTGCATGCACTTTGTTTACTTACCGGACACGTGACTAGCCATTGCATCTCTTGTTTGCTTTGAGGCCGTGCAGTCGATGCTTGAGGACAAGGATTTGTATCCGCATGCCCTCAAGCTGCTGCCTCGTGTTCACAGCCCCTTGCAGGCACTCAGCCGGCAGTGCGAATAGACTAAACAAACAGTGTTGACTGCAACATAGACTCAGGGCAGATGCGCCACAATGAGAAGAAGAGTGGCAACAGTGGCTACGGGCGCGTCCTCTTCGACATCAGCAAGGTGACGATGTGGCACTTTGGGACATTGTTTAATTTCCCTTACATATTCATAAATTTTTATTTAGTTTAAGGGGTCCCAGAACCACAGTACAGCCCAGGTCATCTGCAAGTACTGGCGTGAGCTTTGTGAATGGGTGCAGACAAATGAGGGACACCCGGCAGGGTCGTCCAGTGCCTCGAAGAAACCAGAACCGCGCGTGGAATTTTGGTCGGAGGGAGAGGACACGGACTATGAATCCCCGTCGGGTGGTGGCTGGCCCTGGCAATCAAAGTCGCAGGAGGAGTCCACAACGGCCGATGATGCCCCACGCCGGTGGAAGCAAAACAAGGCTGACCGCACCCCCGTGTTTGGGACTGGGACTCCTCAAGATGGCGCAGATGCGGTGCCTGAAACGGTGCCTGAAACGGTGCCTGCCACGGCGCCTGCCACGGTGCCTGCCGAGGTGCCTGCCGAGGTGCCTGCCGAGGTGCCCTTGGTGTTTCCTGCCGAGGTGCCTGCCGAGGTGCCCTTGGTGTTTCCTGGGCAGTCAGAGCCGGTGTCTGCGTGGGATGACACTATGCCTGCCCGGTCGGAGCCGGTGTCTGCGTGGGATGACACTATGCCTGCCCGGTCGGAGCCGGTGTCTGCGTGGGATGACACTATGCCTGCCCAGTCACAGCCGGTTTCTGCATGGGATGACACGGTGCCTGCGCAGTCGGAGCCGGTCTCTGCGTGGGATGCGCGTTGGGACCAGTGGTACACAGAGGAGAAGCAGAAGGAGGCCGAGGAGGAGGCCAGACAAAAGGCGGCAGAGGAGGAGGTTCAAAAGGCCGCAGAGGAGGAGGCC